CAGTTTGTGGGGTTGTATCAGCTGATTATTTAAAACTGCCCTAGCTCAAGAAGAAAAGTCTTTTCTCACCTCCATCCAAAGTGACCTCCTTTTGGTGACCCTCTGGATGCTCCTGATTTTTCTCCAGTCCTCACAATTACTTGAGGGCATATTTTGCAGGTACTAAAGAGGATTAATAGGACTTCTTTCAAAACTAAGCAAAACTCCCATAGGGAGTAAGCTCAGGTACTAGAAGAGTGGAGACTCTGTACACTTAAGGCAGTGGGTTGGCTTGGTTAGCAAGTGACCAGAAGTACTAACCAGAGCTTCTTGTGTAGCTCCCTGTGCAAAGCAGTGCTGCATGGCCCAAAAGCAACATCTCCAAAAAGTTGATTCCATAGAGAAAATGATTATGCCTGAAATGCTTGCTTTCTTGCATATCTACATGCTCAGTGAGATACTTCAGTATCTAAAGTCGCATGCATTCATTAAATAGGAACATTTATAACAGCAAGAATGTCTGGAACATGTCTTGGACTGGAATAACTGTCTTGTAAATTCGATTTGTTGCCTAAATTATTTATTTTGAAAGCAAAATAAAAATTGGGCTAGTGGGACGAATAAAGATCTTTGCCGGCCTTACATTAATGTTGTGCTTTACAAACACAACGTATCTGTTCCTTGATTACAATGGATTATGAGGTATAAAGTACTCTTTTGAGGTCCTTCAATATCCATCTTCAGGTATTTCATTAGCAGGATTCAACTATATAGAGTTGGGTTATTTACTGTGAATCATACAATACAAATCTTAAAACTAAAGCTGCACTTTTAAATATTCTAAATGAGTGATTCAGAGTCGGTGCAATTTTTCCATTGTAAAAACTATGAGCCAAAGTTCTGCCCTCTGTTGCAAAATCACTGAGTTCAATGGAGTACTCTGAATTTATAGTGGTGTAGTGAAAGAGAAGAATTCTGATCCTTCTCTGACTGACTGCACTTCCATACAACATGCAGCCCACTTCAGTGCAGTTCAGAAACAATCCTTCAAAGCACTTTCCTCATGAAAGACTATAAATTATTCTGAAGCTACTTCTACTGGAATTTGAATCTTTCTTCAGGAGTTCTGACATGGTGCTATAAGCTCTGGAAACCACCTGACCAATTCCCTCTCACTATCCAACATGTGAACAAGGCACCCTCTGAATCCAATAAAAGCAAATCTTGGAGTGATTTGTAAACTTAAAATACCCATTGAGGTAACTTGGTAAAATAAAAAAAAAGTGGAAGACAGGACAGCTCTGCTTTCTTTGTATGAATGAAGCAGTGTTTCTATTAATAGGAGCATTTTTTCTTTTGCTTAAAAATATTTGTAGAACAGTTAGAGCCTGTAAACTACACATTATTTTTGTGTGTAGACATGTGTACTCATGAGATTGTGTCTACACATCTTCACTTCTTTATTCTCATGTCTTAAAACTGAGCAAGACCACCCAGCTTCTTCTCTATATATAAATTAGGGATAAAAATCCCACTTTTTTGCAATTCTACAGATGCATTATATCAGGCTTTAGATTTCAATGATTCGAAATATGTATCTAGCTAATAAAGCACATCACAAAATTAGTTGAAATTATGTCTCATTTACAGAGCAGGCACACTTGCCAGACTTGTACAGAAATGGATTTTGCTTTGGGGAATATTTTTCCCTAATAAAAATATAAAATGAGGAACTCGGGTATAAAAAATAATTGTAAGGAACAAGTTGATCAAACATTTACAAAGAAGATGGTTGCAAGTTATAGTAACTATGGCAACATGACTTAGAACAAAGCAATGGCTTAATGTTTAAATTAAATCCAACAGGTATTAATGGTTATGATCTGCAAATTTAAAGATTATTTTTAGTATTATAAATCAGAGCTGACTTGAAAAAGAAAAATCAATGGCAATGAAATAAAATAGTAAGTGAAGAAGTGGAGAAAATACAATCCATTGGCACTGCTTTACTAAGCAAATCTGTCAAAAAATGCAGTTCCAGGACAATGTACTATGAAGCAATACCTTTTTTGAACATTACTAATACGGCACATGATTTACAGAAAGTAACTAAGACCACTGCTATCTGATGACTGTGATTCACTTCTATTATGTGATTCACTTCTAACTACCAACTTTTGCCCTAGGAATGATGCAATAAGCAAACTCCAGAGATTCATCACAATGACCATGGATGCATGCTCCCAGAGCTACGTTCACAGGAAATGGAAACACACCATTGCCAGAACCTAAGGGCTTGTGAAATAAAGGAAAATATCCTGTCTGCACAAAGCTGGCTGGTTCAGTAAGATAAAGTATAAGCCCATAAAAACATGTGTTTTTTGGATCTGAAATCTAGTGATGGAAACAGCCATCCTCTTATACAAGATTAGCTTTCCTTCAAACTCTACCCCACACTAGCCATAGATACACAAAAAATCTCCCCCGCATTACCAGCAGCCCGCTAAGGCCCTGATTCTACAAGATGCAGAATGCGCATCCCCATCTCGCAACAAAGAATTGGGAGTTGATGGTGCTCAGTACCTTGTAGGGTTAGGCCTAATACTATTATTAACTGTTCACCACATCTGTGCTTGGCAATACCCATGACAACAAGTCAGACAACTCCCTGCTCCTTCATAGAATCTACACTTAAAAATTATGTTGGCATATGTACGTTGATCAGGATTGTGTAGACTCAGCTATGTCTACTGAAGAATGCTTTTCCATTAATGTAGTTAACCCCATTCGGGGAGGTGGTGTTCCTACATTGACAGAAAAAGCCCATCTGTGTCACAGGCTTTGTCTACACTACAGGGTTATGCCAACATAGCTATGCCAGTATGTTTTCCATTGGGTAAAAACAGCCTCAGGCCACAATCCTGCAACTGAGTTAGTAGGCAAACCTCTGCTCCCATGTGGAGGCCTATTGATTTCCT